CCTTGTCATAGCCCTCTGGCCCGCCCCAGAATTTACCTCCTAGGTTCAATTCCTTTCTGTCTGTCAATGACCAAGACAGGGGACGTGTCTGCTGGGCCCCTTACTGCGGGTGAATTCTGTGGTCCAGGCCTGCGATGCAAGCCCAGGACTGAGAGATAGCTGGGAAATTCGCCACCACCCCTTTTTCTGAGCACACGTGTGTGTATATTTCTTGATTTTTGTAAATAAGGAAAATGACCCTGCAAACCCTTGAACCCTGCCCTTCTTTGGAACCTGCTCGCTGGGGCACAGTGACCAGTGGGAGGTGAGTGGGGTTGGTTTGGGGGTTACGAACGGATGGGGAGGTGGGAAGTGCCCTGAGGCCTCCCACATACAGAGTACCCATGGTGTGGGGCTTTAGGAAAGCCAAAAGTCTTGCTTCTTGTCCCCGTGTGAGTTGAGAACCAGTGGATGGAGGCAGAAGACAGGCAAGTGCCGATGAAGCCATCTCTGTCACTGCCGATTGGGTTTTGGGGGTTATTCATTCTCTACCTGACTTAGGCAGAAACACACACACATATACACACACACATATACACACACACACACACACACGCACACACACACATACACACACGCACAGGCACAACAGGACAGTCCTCTTGCCAACAAGGGAAGGGAAGAAGACCCCAGTGGAGGTTCTGCAGCTGACTAGCCCCTCGAGTGGACAGTGAGGTGGGGACGGGGGAGGCCTCTGAGCCAGTCTAACTCAGTGCATCTCACCCTGGGCAGCTCTGTCTCAGAGGGGGCTTTTGGTAAAAGAATAGGGTAGTTGTGGAAGCTATTCATGACTTCTTATGGACAAGGGCCAGAGAGGTTCAACGCCTTCCTATAAGGGCTTGTGCCCAGGAGACTTGTCCTGTCCCATAGAGCCCCAGGGGAGCAAATCTGGCGGCGCAAGTTCTTCCCCCAGGAAACTAGAGGAACCAGAGTGAGGAATCCTGCTTTGCTCACAGATCCTCAGAAAATGTGTGTTGATTGCCTGGCTCACTCAGAGAATGGGCTTGGCGAAGGATTCTGGGATCTGGGAACCAGCAGTTATGGAGTGATTGCTAGGCCTGGGCTCCGTGGAGGGTCTTTTACCAGGCAGGACCCTGGGAACGCACACTGTCGCCTGGAGGAGTTCACAGGCTGGGGTGGGGGACAGTCATCCTAAGGATGTCAACCCATTGCGGTGGTGTCTGCAGGATGCACGTGCAGCCATCTTTTCATGGCACCCCACCCCAAATCTAGTTCCGTGATTGACAGATGGGGAACAGAGGTTCAGGGGTGATGTGAATGGATGGGGGTCGCACAGCGGTGTGGTAGGCAGCAGAGCTGAGGTTTAAACCTAGGTCTCACACCGAGGTCCAAGTCCTCCCCAGACGTCCCTGCCTCCACGCTTTGAGAGGACTCTGCTCCCACCGCCACCACCACTACCAGGTTGAGTGATTTCCAGAAAAGTGGCCAATGCAGACCGAGAGTCCCCTGTGCTGGAGGTGGCCCATGGGACTGTCAGATGGAGAGAAGTCAAATGACTCTTCAGAGCGGCTGTCACAGAAGGGAGACCCTCAGGTCTATCGACTCAGACTCTCAGGGACCAGGGCTCCAACTCCCAAAGGGCCACAGTCTCTGGTCAACCAAACTCCTAGTCTCATGTGCCAGCCAGAGGCCAGCGTTGACACCTGGAGCAAGTGGGTGATCAGAGGAGCCCTGTTGGCAAAGCAGTTCTACGTCGGTTGATAACCACAAGGCCAGCAGTTCAAACCCACCAGTCTGCTCCGAGGGAGAAGGATGAGGCTTTCTGCTCCTATAAAGAGGTGCAGCCTCCAAAAGCCAGGGGGACAGTTCTACCCTGTCCTGTAGGGTCGTCATGAGTCAGAATTTACATGAGGGCAGCAAGAAGAGGATGATCAGACTACAGGAGCGTGCCCCCCACCCCACCCCCCCCCACACACACTCACGAGCTGGGTGGTCTGTGCCCGTTACTGCCTTCAGGTGTCAATCCGCTCCTCTGTAAAATGGCAGTCAATACTTAGTCGCCATTGCCTCCCTTTCCCACCGCCAGCGGCTCACTCTGTGCCGACACCCCGCCGTGGGCGCTGTGTTGACATGCAATCTGCATGGAGCCCAGTGAGGGAGGCCGTCTGTTGCTCAAGTCCACTCCCTGGTCCACGGTTACAGCAATGAAGTGGCACCGCAGGGGTTTGCATCAGGGTTTGCATCTGCCTGACTCCAGCGCCCTTCTGGGCCCAGCATCTTCTTGCTGCTACAGACAGGAGCACACCCATTAGGTTTAATGAAGGCCCAGCAGGGCAGTGGACCATCGGGAGCTTGCCAGTGTCTCCTGACCTGGAATCCCTGTTTCGACAGGTTCCCCTTCTTTCCCTCAGGTGCAGGTGGGTGAATTCTCCCTTGCACCCTCTTTTTTTTTTTTTTTTTTGCCCACATCCTTCTGTTCGCTCCAGATAGAGCACAATGCAATTGATTAGGCGCTGCGTTCTCAATTTCAATCACATCCTCACCCTGCCTCCCTGAGATTACACGCGGGTCACCTTGATTGCAGTTTGCACCGTTCACAAACTCTTCGGTTGCTGCTTTACAAAACCATCTCTCGCCTCATTCACTCCCCCACCTGGCTCCTCTCCTCCCTCTCCGTGAAGGTGTGTTTTCCTGGCTTCAGCTCCAGAGGGCAAATGAATTTCAAGTTCATGGTAGAGGAGGAGGACATTTAATTTTCTAACGTGCACCACCTAAGGGAAGCCTCACCCTCACCTCAAGGTGGGGCAGAAGTGGGATCATTCCATTTTACGGAGGAGGAAACGAAGGTTCCGAAACGCTACCACACTTGCCCACACGGTCACACAGGTGTGGATGGCAGAGCTAGGCCTTGAATTCAGGGCTGTCTGACTCCAGTCTCAAGTACCCCACTGTCACGTTCCCTGTCTATTGGAGCAGCGTGGGAAAGCTCCATGCTGACCGAGCCAGGTTCAGGGAGGACACGGGCAGGTAGGGAAATGGGGTCGCCCTGTACATGCTGAGGAACCCAGCCCTTTCTTAGTGGCATACACATTGACTGATGTCTCCTGTCGGCCTGCCCAGGAGGCGGGACAGCAAACCCTACACCTGCGGGCAGTGTCAGCTTGGGGACCAAGGGAGGCTTCTCAAGGTGTGAAAGAAGAGTTTGTCTATGGAAGCCACCAGCTGGGGGAGGTGTCTCACCCTGTGGGGGTGGGGTGGGGGAGCACTTGCCCCCAGAGGTCTGGTAGAGCATAGCCCATTCATTCCAGGGTGGTGAGGCCTGAAAGAATAAGGCGCAGGGTTGGGAAGAAGAAAAGGGACCGGAGGAAAAGTCATGGGAGAGGAATCAAGTTATGGGAGAAAGCCCGAAGAAATCTGGGGGCCTAGGACCCATTCCGAGAGTTTCCCCGGATCCTACTGAGCTGGGTGAACCCGCACTCCCAGGTTGAGTGAGGGTCCAAGCTCACCCTCACCCGGTTCATGGCACACCTACTAAGGTAGAAGGTGATGTCTGCGCTCTCTGGTGGACTAAGTGGGCACTACAACCTGAACCACGGTTGTAACCTCCACCACGGATTCCAGATTCTGAACGATTCCTGCCTTGGAGAACTCAGTCTAATGTAGTAGCGGGTGAGGGGGGCAGAAAGTGACAAGATGGGGTGTGTGGGAGTACAGGGGAGACTCCTCACTGTCAGTTGGACAGTAGGAAATCAGAAAGACTTCTCAGCACGCCTGAGGTGGCGGTGTTTGTTTTTTAAGAGTTAAATCTTCCTGGTCAGCAAGGGATTACCAAAATCTAAACTCCCTGCCATCAAGTCAGTGCCGGCTCATAGTGACCCTAGAGAACTGCCCCCGTTGAGTTTCTGAGACTCTGCGTATGGGAGTGGAAAGCCGGGTCTGTCTCCCAAGGACTGGCTGGTGGTTTCCCACTGCTGACTTTGGGGTGGTGGCCCAGCCCTGACCATTCCCCCCGCCAGGGTCCTCCCAGACAAGGGCTGAGGATGGCAGAATTAAGCACGCAAGGTTCAGAGGGAGGAAATGGGACTGTGCAGGGAATTGTAATGTGTTAGGTGCTCCTGGAGTGTCACATTGGAGAGAGGTGGTAGCGGCCAAGAGTCAGGTGGTCTCTAGGTCTACCCCGCACGCACGAGACAGCGACCTTTGCTGCCATTGGACAATGGGAAGTCACAGAAGGGTTTCAAACCAGCTCCAACGAACGCACTTTCAAGAGAAGGGGTGGTAGAGGACGAGGTGGAGAGGGACACTCCTCTTGGACGCCAAGACACATAGCTTGGGCCAGGCCTGGGAACCAGACATATGGTGACACCTACAGCCGCGTCTCAGTGGAGCCCAGACTGAGAGCCCACAGATAAACCTGCCTTGGTATCTGCTCAGACACCTAACTCAGGGCCACGGGCAGATACTGCAGACCAGACACGGACCCTCCACACAGACACAGGCATCTAGGAGGTGGGAGCCTTGCACACCCTGCGGGACTCAGGAATTCTTACATGTGGTGTGGCTGTCAAGGGCTCTCTCCCTACCCTCTTCTGTCTCCCCCTGGGGTCCCTCACCACCTCTGGCAGGAACAAAGCTGACCTTTACCCTCTGACCTCTGGCCTCTCCTCCCACACCCCCTGCCCAGAGGGAGGAGCTGTTTGAAGTCTGGGCTGCAGCTGGGGTTTCCTGTTGCCTGGAGGAATGTGGGAGGCCTTGCAGGGGGGAGGGGAGAGGGGCCAGCCCAAGAGGAGGGATAAAGGGGGCCTGGGGCCAAAGGCCCCACTGTATTACAATGAGGGGGGGCTTCCTGCTTGC